AAGGCATACATATCCTTTTACTACGCAAACAATTATATTTCCTGGGAATAAGGACAGAATTAACTGGCCCGCCTTAAACATCGATTGGCACTATATCGATGCGAGATGCTATACATATTTTCTATGCAAATTGACTTGAAACACGACATTTATATCTCGTCTCCAATTTCTTAATTAAAAGACAAATAGTGATATGCGTGCATCTCTATACAGCGATCGAATTGATTCTCCAAATAATCGAAAAATCCAATATGGCGCCTATTTAACTTTAGGAAGTTGGTAAATGTTCCTCAAATGTAGCCATCTTGAATTTTTGTTTGACATCAATTCTAAATTAGGCGTATTAAAGACAGTAGCCAGGTTGCGGACAGCATTTTCCGTTATGTTAGACGGCCATCTGATGTAATTATTTTCATTGTTTTGTTAGCTCGAATAGATTTTGTTTTGTTTTTTTTTTAATTCATCACAACCTACTTGATTAAAATATAAAAACCGTTGATATAACTGGTATCTTATTTTCAATCTTATGTTATGATGGTTCGTTGAAAAGAGAATTAAAAAATCTATCAAGTAATCTAAAAATCCCATATAGCGCCTATTTAATTTTAGGAAGTTGGTAAATGTTCCTCAAAAGTAGCCATCTTGAATTTTTTTTTGACATCAATTCTAAATTAAGCGTATCAAAGACAGTCACTTTTATATAAAACTTTTTTTTTATATCTCTTATACTTTCGATGATATAAGACATTCAAGGAAATGACCAATTTTAGTTTTTTTGAATTTACGTCGAACCTATGCGATATTTTGAATTTCCATAAGGAAATTTTAAATAAGCATCTAAAACTGCAAAACATTGCCCATTGAACCAATTCTCTATCTTTAATAATAACAAAGTTACCCATGCAATCCCACGCGATCTGGGACACACTGTATATTATATTATAACAATATTAAATGTAAAAATAAAATGTAAATAGACTATGATATGTTAATGTTATAAAGAGAACAAGCGCATGGTGCGCATCATAGTCGTACAAGATAGGTGGGGGAAATAATGAAAGCGGCAAATTTAATTTAACAATTCGGCCGAATGGGTTCGTCCGAATTCTCTCAAATTCTTTCGACGTTAATATTTCTGCCCTCATACCTCCGAACGGCTGCTTTATCAAGCACTCGGTTATTTTTGCACTATGTCCAAGATAACGATGTCTATCATGGGGATCTCGGAAACCATAGGAAATACAAAGATGGTCAAGTTAGGAAAAAAGTTGCGGATTTAAAGATTTATTATCACGCTGTAAAGAAAAAACAGAAAATTCCGATTACTTCCGAAGATATGTCAGAAAAACCGAAATTTGCCGATTTCGTTTTTATTTTTTCTGGTTATTTGAACAGATACACACTTTCTCATTGCAACTTTTGAGCTCTAGCTCTACAGTGCACACATTTGGCCTGTGTGTTTTTCTGTAAGTACAGGGTGTTTGTTAAACAAGCGGCAAAAAGTAAAGAGGTTATTCCTTGAACTATTCAAAGGATATTTTATCCTTTGATGGATTTTGATAAAGCGCTTTGTTGCGAAGTTACAGGACGAACAAGTATGAGTTGTTATCTTAACAACATTCCCCGATTCCTTTGATTGATTATTTTGTTTGTTTTGTTTTTGTTTTTGAAAGAGTCCGAGAGTCGATGAAGGAAATGTTGTGGTTTATAGTAGAGAGGATTGGATGGTTGCATTGCATCCGAGCTGGAGGTAACCATTTTAATTTTTGTCGCATGTTTAACACACACGGACCACCGTGTATAATTTCATGGTCTTTATAATTATGTGATGGTGGTTGTGGTGACAAAACTAAGGTAAGCTTTCCATTAAAGTTCCTCTTAAGGCCAATTCACACTATAGCTCAGGTCACGCTCTACTCAAAATATTGTAACATGCTATCTCAATAGGAATATTCACATTTGACGGTCAGAACATGCTCATAAGAAATACAAGCTACAATAATTGACCGGACCGTGACGTGACCGATACTGTGAATTGGCCTTTTGTAGTTATCTAAATGAACGTGTTTTTGCAATTTTTGATCATTTTTATTAAATTACTTTACCTAGCGAATAATCCCGATAGAGCTCGAGGCGCTATGAAAGATTACTCATCGACGATAAAGAACGAAAGCCGATGCGACCTAATCTTTCCGGGAGATGTGTTTTGTTCCAGCTAGAATATACGAGAACATTCGGGAGCACTCGAGAACACTCGATTTTGCTATATAAGCAAATCGAATTACGCTTCTAATTTTAACGCCGAAGTAATAAATAGTTCGTGCTATTATAAATTGTATATATGTGAATGATGAATAATTTTTTAACTGTTATTAATTCCTTTCGGGACTGTTTAATTTATTGTTAATTATTTGTAAATAAACATATGACGTAATTAAATTTACGTTACATTACAAATAACGTTCGGTGGTTCGTGTTTAAAAATCCCTGTATGCTCTTTATTTCTCATTTTTATTTAAAAATCGTTCAATTAGGTACTTACACAATGACTAAAATGCAAAAAATATAGTTCTCACTAATAAACAAACAGTGATCAAAAATGATCAAAGTCCTCGTGTGAGATCGAAGGGACTTCAGCGCATTTTTGTGTGGCAGATCAGTGTTTTATTAGCCAATATTGACTCCACCATCAATAAGATCTTGCCAAAAGCTACCACGTTCACTTTGTCGGTACCATTTTCTCACTTACCGTGCACTTGCAATTCGCGTTTGAAGTTTTGACTCCACCATCAGTAAAATCCTTTGGGGGTTACCATATTCCCTTTGTCGACACCCACTTCTGATCACCCGCAACAATTCGGATTTGAAGTTTCGACTCCACCATCAGTAAGATCTCGTCGGGGGTTACCACATTCCCTTTGTCGATACACAGTTCCGACGTCCCGTTCATTCGTAATTCACATTTTGGTAGATTTCGCTAAAATCCCGGCATAAAATCGTATTCAACTTTTGGGTACTTCACATAGCTCGACCTTCAATTAGTGACACGAGAAAGAGAGACCGCGATTCGCGCTGTAAGAAACTTTTGGGCGCCCAAAGTCGACTACCCCTCGAAGCGCGCCGCGCAAAAGGTGGTTTATTTCGCCCCTAGGAAAAAAAAACAAAATTCCGCCACGCAGGAGTTGTGCGCGTTGACAAGATCTTCCCGACGACACCAATTTGAAAACAATCGGAGAAAAACTGTAGAAGAAGATAGATAAAAACTGAAAAATCTCCAGGTTAGTATAATACGCTCGGGGATGGCGTCCAGATGTCGTCGACTCCAAATCTTGTAGCCCCATCCCTAACGTTCTTAATTACACGGCCCCGATAGTTACATGTACACTCCTTGTCTTTTTACAAGCGTTTTTCTACGGGCGCGCATTTACTGCCAGCCAGCCAGCCAGCCAAAGTGAGATTAAAAGCTACTTTTTACAAAAAAAAATTTTTGCAAAAATGCGCTAAAAATGCCATAATTGGTAAACTAGTACTGAAAAACACGTTACCAAAGTAATCGTAAGCACTAATTTAAAAAAAAATAGCAAAATTCATCTTAAACCATTTAACCAAAATGACAATAAACCGTTATTTAAAAAGTTTAGTTTTCGGCAAAATTCGGGTGCAACAAAAAAATTTTTCCGTTGTTTTTTAATAACCCCATTAATTTTTGTCGCGCAATTAGCGAAACACACATCTTTGTGTACTAAGTTATTGCGCCCCTTATTTCGGTATCTACGCCTTCACCGGAAAATGAAAAAGTAATTCGATAATCGATAGGTAGGTATTCTGGCATGATTAGAGCGTTGCGCGTGGGCGCACCATCCTGTTGAAACGAACAGTTTTCAACTTTTGTTTTGTGTGTGTGTGTGCCATATATCGTTGAATTCGTAATCAAAAATGCTACTCATGTACTTCATTTACGGGTCATGTAAAAAATTAAGTTGATGATGATTTCTCTGAAACGAAATGTTGTATTGAAATTCCCTCAACGATGGCTCCTACAGCTCAAAATGAGGCAATGAGAAACGGTTTTGTATTTTTTTTGTATCTGTTCACATAAAAGCAGAAAAAAATAAAACCAAATCGGTAAACTGCGGTTTTTCTAGCATATCTTCGGAAGTAATAGGAATTTCCTGATTTTTTTAAAGCATGATGTTTAATTGCGCAACTTTTCCCTAATTTGACCATCGTCAATTTTTTTGACGAAATGTCAAACGAATAACTAAAGGAACGGATGCTATTTATTTGGGGACGCAACAATAACGGTAGTTGAATGATTGAAATGTTGAATTTATCTTCGCCTCAAGGATATATAGGAGAAAAATAAATCAACTAATCTTTATTTATTTATTTAACGAAACAGTTTTTATTTTCTTAATTGTCCGCTGAAAAAAAATTGCATGGTAGTAAATGGGGAGGAGGCCGTAGCTGAAATAAATAAGTGGCAAACACATTTGTTCACACTCAAATAAATTCAATTTGATTGGATATGAACAGGTAATACGTTTCAAATCAGCATAAACATCTACCAAAATTTGAATGCGTTAGCAACCTCGATTCGTCTTAAAAGGAAAGCAATCAGGGGATGGTTACCTAACCTTTTTTGCCTACAATGTCGATCTTGAGGTTTCGGAGGCATCTGCTTTCGCTCCTCATTATAAGAATGTGGTAGTTTTATAGGACCCGATGTAATGAGATGAGGACGTTACTCCCATTACGAATAACGATTCGCCTTTATTTACAACTCTACATACAGACACTGAGACACGTCGTGGGTGATCATGGACGTGGTGTTAAATGTTTCAGGGGGAGATGAATGGAGAGTTTATAAAGTGGTGTGAAAATCAAGAAATTTTTTTAATGATTACTTTCGGCATATTTACTTTAGGTATTACCTATATATCACAGATTACTCTACACTAAATTGCAACCTCAAAAATCTAACATCGAATTCTTTTCAGATTAAAGGAGCATTGAAAAGCCAAACTCTTTTGCCAATGCCGACGGGCGTTGAACGAATATACGAAGCTACGTTATTACTACAGCAGTCGCATGGTAAAGAAGTGGATCTGTCTCTGAAGACGGCAATTGAAGGTGCAGTCTTGCAATGGGCATCACTATGTAACGACGTACTACAACAAACGTCAGATGCGGCATTTGCTCACGGCCAAAATCCCATCCCATCAGCGGAAATTAATTTTTGGAACTCCAGGTTGAAGAATCTGGAGAGCATTTTTGATCAACTACGCGATCCCAGAGTTAAAAGGATGGTGCTTTACTTAGAGCTAGCGGGTAGCTCTTACTTGTCCTGTTTTAAGTGCGTGTTTCAAGATGTGGTCGCGGGAGTAATTGAAGCTAAAAATATTTGCCTCTATTTAAAGCCGATGAAAACTCACTTTGAGAAGTTTGAAGACGGGGAGTTCTTGGAAAGCGAGCCCTACATTAGACCTATGGTTCATTGCTTAGGTTTGCTATGGGCAAATTCGTGTTATTACTGTACAAACACGAAAATCACAACTTTACTCAAAGAAGTGGCAAATTTGTTTATTAGCGCTATTACCGCGCAACTAGATCCATCGACAATCTTTCAAGGGGAACCCGAAGATATGGTTAAGAAAATTAACACTTGTCTAAGACTGATTAACATATTTCGCATTTCTTTCGAAGAAGTTCGCGCAAATCTCGCCTCCTATTTTAAGACACCAGATATTCAACCTAAACCGTGGACTTTTCACCAAAGAACCGTCTTTCAAAGACTAATGGATTTTGTGGAAAGATTGGAATTGGTGAAATCAATCCTTCTGGCAGCGATCGAGTACCAGAAACTCGAAAGAATCGAAATCGGCGGGATTAAGGGTAGATTGCTGTCGAAACGGTGCGAAGATCTGCTCGAGGAGTTTAATTATGCGTACGCGAACTTTGTTACAATCCAGTATGACCTACTCGATCCCTTGCACATGGCCATTGTTGCCGAAAATGAGCAGTTCTTAATTAAGTGTAATGATATGGATTCGAGATTGGCGTCCATTTTTGAACAGGTTTTAGATGATTGTCACAACCTGGAGAGCATCTTCAAATTTGTTAATATTGCCAATACATTAGTCGAGAGGCCCATTATATATAACGCAATTAAAGATAAATTCTACAAAATAATTGAAATATTTAATCGAGAGCTAGACACAGTAAAAGAGGTGTATGATGAAGGCAAAAGGGAAGGTGTACCAATTAATAACTACTTTCCACCAACTGCCGGCGTTTTGTGTTGGTTGCACAAACTACGCCAGCGGATCGTGAAACAGGGCGAAGATTTCAAGATGTTTCAGAACAAACTCGTGGAATCACCGGACGCCCTTGAAGCTTTCAGCAAATGGGAAGAAATGCAACACATTCTTGACGCAGAAGAAGCGCGTGTTTTATCGCTTTGGTCTCAGTCGATTCCTTCCCAAATTACAGCGAGCCTATCAAAAATGCAACTTTTCAAATCCGGAGAACAAATCTCCGTCAATTTTGACAAAGAGCTGGAGGCGATCTTGAGAGAAGTAAAATATATGAAGTTATTAGGCATCGAAAACATACCCGAGGTTGCATTGGCACTTTACGAAAGAAATGAAGAGCTATTCATTTCGATGCAACATTTAAATAATATTTCGGAGTGGTACAATCATCTTAAAAACAAGTCCCTACCGGTAGAATATGAATTAATTAGAAGCGAGGTAGAGGAGTTGGACCTTCGTTTAGATGAACTGATTTATCAACTGAATTGGACCACCGACAGTAAGTATTACATTACATTTATTAGATACGTAAAATATTCGTTACAGATTTCGAACTTATCAAAACTATATATGACGCGCTAAAACAATTATACGATCGCGTTATGGAAGCACAGCGTAATGTGAACAATATAATCGCCGAAATAAACTTATGGGGCGAAGAACCGCTGTTTGAAAGGAAAGATCGTAACAGCCATTGCTTGCTATATGTAGAGGATAGAGTGGAACGGGTGCACAAACGATATTCCCAAATAACTGCCACTTCATTGTCCATAGAAAAGGTCATGGAGCTCAATTACAAGTTATTTTTTAATATTCCAGACCCACCGCCTGATCCTGTTGAAGAGCCAAAGGTAAGACAACTAGGTAATACTTGTATTAAACATAATCTCCTTTGAGAATTGAGGGGGGATAGAACGGTGGCCTCACTTTTTACTTATAACGTGAAAACGGTGCGCTAGATGGAATTTAGTAGGTACATGTTCCGGTGCGGGCGGGTGGGAAGTCTTGATGGGTTGAAGCATTCGACCCTCTCCTATCCCCCAACCCCACCGTTGTGGACCGAGGTTCCCAAGCCATTGCTAGATTTGGAAGAACACCCTGCGAGAGTGTTGCCCAGACGCAGCTTTAGTCGGTGGAAGAGAAGACATTAGTTGAGGATTTTAGGAAGCACGTGTATCTGTGCTCATTCAAATCCTATTCTGTTTTGGTGCGGCTTAATACATTATTCTTCGCCTGCTCTTTCAACACTATCAGGGCTTGATGATGTGTTATAGAACAAACTATAAGCAATGGCTCGAGTTTCGTTGGGCTTTTTCTCAAAGCATTTGAGCATCGAAGCTTATTACTTTCTCCATATATGGCGCTGGTAGTATCGTTGCTTCTATTCCTCTTGCAGTCAAGATTTTCAACAACACTTCTAGCAACTTAGCTTTGTTCTTCGCATTGGCGAGAAAGTTCTACTGCGGAACGTTACACACCACGTTCTTAGTCACGTTGAGTTCCACTGAAGTTCCTCTCCGCTTCTGTTCAGCTCGTTTTCTTGAATCGACATTTCTTTAAGTACCCATCATCAAAAACCACAGCATAATTCTGGCCATAGTGACGGATTATGTACAAAACATACCGTTCTGCGATGGAAGATAAGGTGGATCCAACTGCCAATTTAATTCGGTGACGAAGGAAACCGCCCTCCACTCAGTAAAACTTGCTCTCAGATTGAAAAAAATCCCGCTATGCGGATCGAGTTGGCTATACATGTGTATAATCTCAATCTTGGAGAGTCAAAAACTTAAAAACGGTGAGTTTTTTAAGAAAGTTTATAGAATCAAAGTTGTAGCAAATTGTAATAAGTTTTATTTAGATGCAATTTTTTCCTAGGACGCACCGTTTTCGAATTGTAAGTAAAAAATATCTCCAATAAGAATGTTGGCATTGCGCAGTCTGCGCATCAGAGTTGGACTGGGTCAAACATAGAGTGACCCATTGACCCAGTTAGTTTACTGACCCAGTGACCCAGCTTGACCCTGTGGCCCGGCTTGACTCGGGGACCCAGCTTGACCCAGTGACCCATCTTTACTCGGTGACCCATCTTGACCCGGTAGCCCAGTTTAAACCGTTGACCCCTAGGTTGTTCCAGTTGAATCCGGTGACCCAGTAATTAAATTATTGTTAGGTATCATCCAAAACAATTTCAAGTAACTTTTAATTTAAAAAAAAACTTCCTCAACAATATTCGGCAACAAGCACGTAGCCCAATTTCATTCAAGAGAACTAATACCTAAAAAAATCAAATGCATTTGTTTATAGTTTGTAGTCATGTAGTCAACAAAAGTATTTAGAGAAAAGATTTATTTGGATTAAGCTAACTAGTAGAAAAAAATTAAATGTGAATGAACACCTGTAAGCAAACTGGTAAGCCCTGAAGCAAAGAAATAACATTATTCTAATACAATTCGGGACATGGAAAGTTTTTTACGGCAGTATTAAAGCAAACATCACAGAAATGGCAGTTGTCAAGCAATCGAGTATTATTTTCAACAAACCAGCATTAAGTTTCATTTATTTCATAATCTGTAGTTCTGTACACTTGAACCGAAGGCACTGACTTAACTGCGTTATTCGATCAAACTAGGTTACTGGGTTAAATTGGGTCCCCGGGTGAAATTGGGTCGCTGAGTCAAACTGGATCACTGGGTCAAATTGGGTCGCTGGGTCAAACTGAGTCTAACTTGACCCAGTCCAACTCTGCTGCGCATTCGGATATCTGATATTACAATATGCGATATGTTTGCCTTTACTAGAAGTATCTGCGGTTAAAATTTCAACAAAATATATTAATAAATAAGAAAGTTGACATTACGCTGCCTGCGCATGCGCAGTTTAATCTTCAAGATTTTCCGTGGCTCAGGTGCCAGAGCTATACGCTACCGAACGCAAATAGAACGAACTAAATATCTTGAAAACTCGGACAGACGGACGGACAGAGAAAGTGGCTGCAATAGCGCACCCAACTTCGTTAGAAAATGCCGCTTGTGAGCAAGAGGCGAAGAGTGCACTTTCAAATTTATTTTTTCGATTTTAATAGCCCTTATGGAAATTTCATGCCTTAACGAGAATACAAATATGAAATAATTTTTATTTTCTGATCGAATGACACCAATACCAAGTCTGTAAGTGGTGTAGTTCCGGAGCCTTTCCGACTCACACAGACAGACATAAAGACAGCCAAAGTGCACTTTTTAAATTTGAAAGTCAACCCGGCAACGTTTAAAAATGGCCACCCGAATGACTATTCCCTCCAAAACTAAACAAGATCTCGCTTAAATTTGAAAAGTGGCACGTGATGAAACATCTAAGGCAGGACCTCCTTACGTTAGTTGTAGACAACGCTTTGACCTGAAGTACAGTAGGGAAGGAACGTAAAATAAAACCATTGAATTTTTATAAATTCAATGATAAAACACTGAAATTGTGAAAAGTTTGTTTAATAATGATCGTAATTATTATGATTGTGAAAACCCGGAAATTTTAGATGATGTACATTAATATAAACAAAGCAAGCAAAGCCCAAAGGTGTCGTACTCTCGCAAAAGTAACTGTTAAGGGTAAAAAGAGTACGACGTAAGAAAAACCTCGCAGTTTGATTAATACAGTCCAAAAGTTAATTAACAAAATATTAACAAAGATAGATAGTAAATGCATCTACACAAGGTTGGTTACACTCAAGGTTAAAGCAAGTTTTTGGGGACAATAGGTCAGGTAGGAGCAGGTACCAAGATTCTGAGAAAGGGTGAAATACACAGGATGTGACTCATCTTTGGTGCAATAAAGTCCTTTTGTTGAAAGCAAGTTGGAAAATTACATGGCCTTGTAGGCAAATTTCACTAAAAACAAGATATGTGGAAATTATTGAATCGCCACTCATTTAACGCACATAGATTCTAAACTGAAGAGCTTTGATTAGCGTAATCTCGCTCCTGCAAGATGGGTAGTTCGCCCCTGGTTTCGGGGTTTCGAACCTACAGTTGGATGTCGAAGACAATCACGGAATTAGGTGTCGTAACACAAATTTGACTACAGTTTTTTTCCACCCCCGTGACTGCTTCATTCACGGAGAAAATTGTTAGTAACAAACAACAAATCATAACAAACCTCAAACGAATCGGTAATCTCCACATAATAAAATAAAATGATCCAAACTTATATGAATGTAACTTCAGGGACAAGACCAAGTAATCAACATCAATAAACATAAATTAAGCAAACATTACACCAAAAATGTAAACAATTATAAACAATAGCATAACGGTATCACACATATGATTGCTTTACGGTTAAACCAAGTAAATTTCAAAAACAGAGATTCAAACACACAACAAATATAAAATGCGGCATACAAAACACAAATACGACATAAAGAAATGCAAAAATTACTACCTGCATTAAATAACACAAAATAACAACAAACATTTATGGAGCGACGCGTTCACGACCGCCATTCAAGACAAGATGCCAAACGTTACTCCTGTTCGTGCTTTCTAGATGGCGCAGGCAGCTTTTCCCCACCTAAAAATTGCATGGTTGCCAACTCTCAAAAATGTATTGTATCGTCGTAAGTTGTATATACAGGGTGGAACCTCTCAAACTTTCATAATAATAATAATAATTTTTAATTTCTGATCGAATGACACCAATACCAAGTCAGTATGTGGTGTAGTTCCGGAGCCTTTGTGACTCAGACAGACAGACAGACATAAAGAGCGAAAAAGTGCACTTTTTATTTTTTTAAAGTGAAAGTGCACTAAAAATGTCGTTTTTTTCCAATTTGACTTCAATCATCTCTTTAACTATTTCTCTGAGCGAACAATGAAGAGAAATGAATTTGTTTAGAATCGAATTTTCCATAAGATACAGTGGGTCCGAAACGGTAATTTTGAAATGTTATTGCTTGCTATGGAAAATTAACAATTGGTTATTATACTAAGTAAAATTCATCCGATCTTGTTGAAAGTTCGTATATGATCACTACTTTTGATAACAAAAAAATATGACAAACCCGATCACCGTAGGTTTTATAGTTATTGTTTAATTAAATAAACAAATTAAAAAACGATGCTTTGTCTTTCAAACTGGGTGACTCCCAGAGCGTTCTCAATTTTTTTACAGATGGTGGAACTCGTAAAACAACCTTTTCCAAAAATTGTCAATCTAGCAACTTATTCAAATGCAAATCATTCGAGTCAAGCGAAATTCGGCGCGTTCCGCTCTAACAGAGCATATAATTTGTAATGATCTACCAGAAAAAGAAAAACCATCGCCAAGATCTAATGAATAAAATATTATCGATTGAAGGGTACAAATTCCCGAACGAATCTATTGGAACTTGCACCAAATTATAACGATTCTTATCTATTTTAGGTTGAAGAGCCTCCCCCAGAACCCGTAAAAGACAAGAAAGAAAAAGATAAAGGCAAAAAAGCGGCCGATAAGGGCAAAAAGCAAAAAACTGAAGAAGAGGAGAAACCGGTTGAGGAACCTCCAGTGGACGAACAAGCATTGAGGCGCTTAAATCTTTGGGAACCCTACGAAGCGTTCATAGATGAATTGGTCTCACAGTCGTTAAGGCAAGCCGTCTCCGTTAGTTTGGAATTGCTGGTGAAGGCAACGGAGTCAAACCCAAATTTGTACCCGTTATTTGAATTATTGTTAAAACTGATTGACACAAATGTGGTATTCATACCTTCGATAGATCTCGAAGATACCGACAATTTTTTAAGTTTCGTCGAGTCGCTAATTGAAGACATGCGCAAAATGGGGATATTTATGAAACGAGTTAAGAAAAATGCGGACCCCGATTATTTTAATGACGTGTGCGAGGATCCCGAAATAACGAGCATGATGGAGATAGTGGTGAGCCGTGTTACACAAGCCATGGAGTTGGCGATGGAATACACTACGGTTTTCGACGATTTCTCCAACTTATGGTTGGACAATCGTCAAGAATTCTTAAGGCAATTTCTTCTGTACGGACGTCCTTTAACAGCAGAGGAGTTAGACATTGAGCAAGACGAAACGAGCGGTGGCCTGAAATCGACGCCGCCCATAGTTAGTCAATTTAAAGAACAAATCGACTTCTTCGAAGAAATGTATAAAACTGTCGAGCAACTTGAAACCGAAAAAATTATACTCGGCTGGCTACGCATCGACGCCAGACCGATACGTCAAGCGATATTAAATACTGTTGGAAAATGGGGCAACATGTTCAAGCAACACCTTTACGACCACGTCATAAACAGCATAAGTGAACTGGAAAACTTCATACAAGAGGCCATTGCGGGGATGCAGGTACAACTGACCGAAGACGATTACGAGGGTCTTTTAAAAGTGATGGCTTTCCTGGTAAAAATTAGAGACATGCAGGCGGCTACCGACGTCATGTTTGGCCCGTTGAAAGATATTATTGCTTTGCTGAAAGATTATGGGGTAGAATTTTCGGAAGAAACCTACGTACAGCTGCAAGAACTTCCCGATAAGTGGCTCACCTGCAAAAAGGTAATAATCTCTTATTTTAAAATGTTCTATCCATCTATCCTATTTTTTTTTTTCAAGTCAATATCAGTAGTTGCTGGGGTTCGCATTATTTCATTCCATATTTTTTCATTATAGTAGGACAGAGACGTCACTTGTGGCTCTCTCTCTCTCTCTCTCTCTGGTATCGGCCTGGTGGACGGAGCGCGCGTTTCCAGTAATACCAGTGCAGTGCAACCGTTTTGTCTCTGACATCATGAATGCCATGATCGTCCAAATATGGTCCTGTACAGTACCACTCACTGCGCATGTCTGAAGCATATTTGCATGTTTGCTGTTCAAAAAAATTCAAGAAAATCTGAAACCTAAAAATAACCTATGTTGAAGCCCACTGACTTGGGTACGCATTTTTGCAAAAAAATGAGTTTTTGTATCAAAGAATCGAACCCGAGTCGCCGGGGTGCAAGCCGGATATCCTTACTACTAGACCATTGTGGCACACAACACCTAATAAATATTCAAAGTGCCCTCATTCACTTAGAGTTCTTCTTACATTCCCATAACTAGTCTTTCAAAATCAATTGCCTAAAAAAAGTAGTACGATTGTGCTTACCATTTAAGAAGCGTATCGCTGTTATGTTGCCATTTTTGTCAATTTTGTGATTGGAATTATCGTTGTAGGTTGCAGTACAAACTAAACAAGCAGTAGGCCCATTACAAACCATTCAAATCGCAGCAATTAGAAGGCGAATAGCATTATTCGACGTTCGTCAGGCGATGAGCAGGGATGCATTCCGAAAGATGCCTTTCTTCCTTTGGGGTTGCCAACATGTGTACGCGTTGTTTGATAAGGTGCACAAGGAGTTGTCCGACTTTGAGGTCGAATTGAAGAAACTGAGCGAGCAGTCGAATTTGTTCGACTTACAAATGTCCGAATATAAGTCTTTGAAGGTTACCCGTAAAGAGTTGAAGCAAATTAAGCAACTGTGGGATTTTGTTAACATCGTCATGTCGTCAATTAATGAATGGAAGACGACGCCTTGGAAGAAAATTGACGTCGAGGGTATGGAAATGGAACTGAAGAAATTCGGAAAGGAGACCAGGCTCATGGACAAAGAGGTGAGGGGATGGAACGTGTACATTGAAATGGAGGCAACGATCAAGAATATGCTCACTTCCCTTCGTGCAGTCACAGAGTTACAAAATCCTGCAATTCGAGATCGCCACTGGATTCAACTCATGCAAGCCACAAAGGTAAATATACCACACGAGACGCCTCCATGTAACCGTAACTTAGAAATGTACGCTGCCAGATTAATTTGGAGGAAATTTACACTGTACGTATAACCATCAGAGCGCCAAACAGTTTTTCGAGTTTAATCTAATTTTAATAATTTCGTAGGTCAAATTTGTCTTAGACGATGAAACAACACTGAGTGATCTTCTCGACTTGAACTTGCACGAATACGAAGAAGAGGTCAAAACAATCGTCGACAAGTCCGTAAAGGAAATGGCAATGGAAAAATCTCTCAAGGAATTCAACCAAAACTGGAACGTACTCGAATTTGATACCGAAATACACGATCGAAGCAAAATAAGATTGTTGAAAATCGCCGAAGAAACGATAGAAATTCTTGAAGACAATCAAGTGCAGCTGCAAAATATGATGACCTCGAAATTTATACAGTTCTTTCAAAAGGAAGTTTTGGAGTGGCAGCAAAAGTTGTCTAACGCCGATCAGGTTATACAGGTATTCTTCGAAGTGCAAAGAAAGTGGTGCTACTTGGAGAGTATTTTTATTGGATCTGAAGATATCAGGGCACAGTTGCCGGAAGATTCGAAAAGGTTCGACAAAATTGACCGGGAATTTAAAGAGATTTTGAATGAAATGGTTAGGACCTTAAATATAGTTAGGGCGACCAGTAAACCAGGTTTGGCAACGCGATTGGAGCGAATCTTGGATGATTTGCTCTTGTGCGAAAAAGCCCTAAATAATTATTTGGAAACCAAAAGATTGGCGTTTCCTAGGTTTTACTTTGTGTCATCTGCGGATTTATTAGATATATTATCGACCGGAAATCAGCCACCTTTGGTGGCCAGGCATTTGACCAAGCTCTTCGATTCGTTGGCCAAACTGCGATTTGCGATGGAAGGTGGAAAGGAGAGTAAGAGGTCGAACGCGATGGGGTCCAAAGAAAACGACGAATGGGTACCTTTTTTGAACCATTGCGATTGTAGCGGAAAAGTTGAAGTGTGGTTAAACCGGGTTATTGACATTATGCGAGTAACATTACATCGGTCATTTAGCGAAGCGGTAACGTCGTACGACGAGAAACCAAGAGAACTTTGGATTTTCGACTATCCGGCCCAACCGGCTCTGTGTGGCACACAAATATGGTGGACGACGGAAGTGAACATTGCTTTCGCTCGATTGGAAGAGGGGTACGAGAACGCACTTAAAGACTATCAAAAGAAGCAGATTGCGCAACTAAACGCGCTAATCACTTTACTGTTAGGGGATCTCACGGTAGGAGAACGGCAAAAGATTATGACCATCTGTACAATTGATGTGCACTCACGGGATGTTGTAGCAAAAATGATTCAGGTTAAAGTTGAAAATTCGCAAGCCTTCCAGTGGCAAAGTCAGCTCAGACACCGCTGGGATACCAAAGTCAACAACTGTTTCGCCAACATTTGCGACGCTCAGTTTCTTTATCAATACGAATATTTGGGGAACTCGCCAAGACTAGTAATCACTCCTCTCACTGACCGCTGTTACATAACTTTAACGCAAAGTTTGCATTTAATTATGGGAGGAGCGCCGGCTGGTCCAGCCGGAACTGGCAAAACCGAAACGACCAAAGATTTGGGCAAGGCTCTCGGAATGATGGTGTACGTTTTCAATTGTTCGGAGCAAATGGACTATAAGTCAGTTGGAAATATATATAAAGGATTAGCGCAAACTGGGACGTGGGGGTGCTTTGACGAATTTAACCGAATCTCCGTCGAAGTGTTATCGGTAGTTGCTGTACAAGTAAAAACGATACAAGACGCCGTTAAAGTAAAGAAGGCCAGATTCAACTTCTTGGGCGAGGAAATTTCTTTGATTCCAACGGTAAGTTGTTAGCTCTGCTAGGGGCCCCCTTCATTGAAAAATACGAATGATGATTTGACATTCCTCAATCCTTACACCCTTGTACGATTCGGGTAATTAGTTCCTTTGCACCTTATTATTCATACAGGACAGGGTAATATTTGTTCCTACTTACCTTATCAGGGTGTCCCGCGACAAATTCCGGCTGTCTATACAGTGCGCTCGAGATAAGAGCTTATATTTGGCGAAATACGAAAAATTTGTTAAATATAATTTTATGTGTGACATTATGATATATCTGATCAGAAAAGAAAAATCAATTTGCTGGATAACATAAAATATGCATATGGTTGATATAGAAAAAAAAAACAAGTATAAATTGTGCACAACTCTTGTGCAGATAAAGCGCATTTTTTTAACCGAAATAGCTTTTGTTTTGACATCGCCAATGGATATATTTCTTGAAGACGTCTCAATCGCCCTTGTGAGTACCCTCTTCCGACAATCCATTCTTGAGGTATAAAGGAATATACCCGATCACGGTCGAGGAGGAGGGCTATGGTTGGTAGAAATTAATTCCTTTCGTTGAGACCTTTCATTAGAGTACCATGAAGGATATAACTAGTTCCACTCCCCCCTTTCCCTCCCCCGCATACTTTGATAAGAGGACAGAAAAAAGGGCAGTAGTTGGTAGAAAACGGTTTCTTTCGTTGAGACCGTTAATTAGAATACGAGGAGAGATAACATTAATTTTTAACCCCCCTCCCCCTCAGGCCTCGTCGCTCCCTGATCTCGAAACAGTCGCACGGGAAAATTATAGTTTGTACAAACCAATTTATTTCGATGAGACCTTTCATTAGAATACCATGAAGGGTAGAACATGTGTTACCCCCCCCCCCCCATTTTCTAAAGTTTAACTTGGCACCATTAAAGGCATGTGTATGCCAAATCTGAGACCAATTGGTTGTCGTATGTAAAAGTTATGCACATTTTTGTTTAATTCTTAAAAAATGAATTTTGAAAATGGGGGGGGTAAACACATGTTCTACCCTTCATGGTATTCTAATAAATGGTCTCATCGAAATAAATTGGTTTGTATAAATTATAATTTTCCCGTGCGACTCTTTTTCTAGATCAGTGAGCGATGGGGCCAGGGGGGGGGGAGGAGTTAAAAATTAATTTTATCTCTCATTGTATTCTAATTAAAGGTCTCAACGAAAGGGACCGTTTTCTACCAACTACTGCCCGTCTTTCTGTTCTCTTATCAAAGTACGGGGCGGCGGGAAAGGGGGGGTGGTGGTGGAACTAGTTTTATCCTTCATGGTACTCTAATGAAAGGTCTCAACGAAAAGAACCGTTGTCTACCAACTACTGCCTTTCTTTCTCCCCTCTTATAAAAGTACGGACTAGAGGGTGGGGGGTGGGGGAACTAGTTTTATTCTTCGTGGTACTCTAATGACAGGTCTCAACGAAAGGAATTAATTTCTACCAGCCATAGCCCTCCTCCTCGACCTCTTGTCGTGATCGGGTATATTCCCTTATACATCAAGAACGGAAGAGAGTACTCACAAAGGGCGATTGAAACGTCTGCAAGAAATATATCTATTGGTGATGTCAAAACAAAAGCTATTTCGGTTAAAAAATGCGCTTTATCTGCACAAGACCTGTACACAATTTATACTTGTTTTTATGTAGTCCTTGACACAGAAAAGTTGATTGCCTCTGAACTCTCTTACCATAGGGAATCTCCAATCGATGGTCAATAGCAAACAATCAAAAGTACAAAAATTTGAGTATATTGATTCCAAATTTTGTAAGTGGTTTTAATGACTTCACACACCCAGATACTGTTTCTTGATATATTTGTGATAGTTAATATTCAAAATAAAATGTTAAATATTATGAATTCGATTGCGTAATGAAATAAAACTACAATCATACATCATACGGCCTCACTTGTTCGTTCGTGCTCAGATGTGTACCCACCTTTAAAACGCTGGGCGGTGTTTTTTTTAACCACTAGTTTCTTTATATCGACCCGGTTGACTTTAACGTCTTTATGCTTTGGTTTCTTGCGACTAAAAAGCGCGATCCCCATTAACATTATCAGAGCGTTTCCAAAATTAAAGGCAACTTTATGTTTTTGCGTAATTACAATTCTCATAGAAACGTCCGTAATCTGTGCGGGTAAAGCTGGATTCACGTGCATACGAAATCCGACGATACTGTAATCCGAAAGGCGTATGATTGGTTAACAATTTCAAATGTGCTTGGCATATGTAATTCTGGTTCTGCCTATACATATATAAAATTCGTAAAATGTTAAACTGCGAAGCGAGCTACCGTTACATTTGCTTATTTTAAATGAAGCACTCTATACATAATTCCGTTTTTACATTCTATGTAAAATTCTATATACATTTCATGTTTATTACAAAACGCACGTACACTGATCCTATTTTAGATTAGAGCCAACTGTCTTGTTTAGGTCTTCGACTAATTTTATATTCAAAGTTTAGGTTGATTCTATACAAATTAAAAGTTGTAACGGGCTAGTTACATTTACAGGGGTTACAAACCCCTCTTGAGGAAATTAAATTTTATTCTCTACGGCACTGGCAAAATTTTTTTTACTGTAACAATAAATTTTTTCTATTTCGGTGTCACAATGATGATTTTGTACAACTGTTTTCGGCCGAAAACAGTTGTACAAAGACAGTGATTATAGTCGTTTTTTTTGGTAACTCATCTCTTAAGTTGGCAGTTACTAGTTAGTACAAGTAGGTACTTCGTTGGGTACTTCCATGTTTGAACTTCAAAATGTCAGTCTTACTACGCTGCCAACCTAAAACTTAACGGCATAAAAGTGTTCCCAACATAAAACATGTTAGTTCTAATGTTCCCTATAGTTTCTGATAATGATTTTTTTAATTAAATTAAAGCACCGAAATAGAAAAAATAGTATGAAAAACGCGTGTTACAATGCTTTATTGTAATACTCCTATCTTGCGGACACTCGTGGCTACGCTTCGCGTCGCCACTCGTGCCACAAGATAGTCGTATTACAATAGCTCGCATTGTAACACTTGTCTTTCAATATACTATTTCATACCACTTTAGCTCAGTAATGAATGACTCTTACCTTGTGAAGTGTTAGATCTTATAGTTATAATCTGGAAATTAAAAGCTGATACTCTGATTTGGCTCTCAAAAAGTACTCATATAAATTGAACTGATTGAATATATTGTTGAAGATAATATTCCCATTCAACACATCAATTTATACATATCTGGACACTAAATAAAATTTAACACACAAAAGAATGGTATTAATCATCTTCACAATTAATGAGAAAACAATGTACCTACCAATATCTTTGGTTTGGGTTGGGTTCACTTATCAGTTATTCATAAAAAATACACAAATTTGTTCGCGGGATAAATTCCCGTCAATCGACCTCTTCAGGAATGTTGAATCTGGACAAGCATGAGAATTTGAACCTTTTTTGCGTGGGGGTTAAACGAATTTTTTTGTACGTTAGGGCCATAGGGGCAGAGTTCACCCTCTCAGACGGTCGCTAAACTTTTCATTTTTCCTCCGCCACTGGACGTTCGGGCGTTTTCGGCAATTTGGCTGCTAACTTCACACAGGTGACTTTGCGGATCATCAATCATCATCATCATCCGCTAAAATAACCATTTTAAAGTTACGCACGTTTGCAACCTTTGATTATATACTACTCAAAGCTTGCAACGCATCATCTGGGTTAAATCTTTGAATATCAAACTATAATGTTTATCTTAAAAAACCACCTACCGACAAGATTAGATTTTACAAATCCCGTTTCGCCTAAATTTCGTTTTTCAACCCCGCCTCTCAATCTACACCATAATCGGCCGGTTAAAAATAATTTTTAATTTTAATTTAAATGATTTCAGATCGGAATCTTCATTACGATGAATCCTGGATACGCCGGCAGAACGGAACTTCCCGAAAATCTGAAAGCTCTATTTCGACCTTGCGCAATGGTCGTTCCCGATTTTGCGCTCATTTGCGAAATAATGTTAGTCGCCGAGGGATTTCAAGAGGCTCGACTGCTCGCGAGAAAGTTTATTACTCTCTACACGCTGTGTAAGGAATTATTAAGCAAACAAGACCATTACGACTGGGGTTTGCGCGCAATAAAGTCGGTACTGGTGGTCGCGGGCGCGCTGAGACGGGGCGACAGATTGCGGCCCGAAGATCAGGTGCTGATGAGAGCTTTGCGAGATTTTAACATTCCGAAGATAGTTACGGATGACGTCCCCGTTTTCATGGGACTTATTGGAGATTTATTTCCGGCTCTCGATGTCCCGAGGAAGCGAAGTTTAGAATTTGAAAAGTTGGCGAAAGCTTCGGCTGTGGATTTGAAATTGCAACCCGAGGATGGGTTCATTTTGAAGGTGGTGCAGCTTGAGGAGTTGTTTGCAGTTCGTCATTCGGTATTTGTGTTGGGATTCGCGGGAACTGGCAAAACGTGTGTTTGGAAAACTCTAAATAGAACGTACTACAATCAAAAATTGAAACCGTATTACAATGATCTAAATCCTAAAGCGGTGACAAATGACGAACTGTTTGGAATTATTAATCCAGCTACCCGCGAATGGAAAGACGGGCTGTTTTCGGTTATAATGAGAGATCAAGCGAACATGTCCGGAGATGGGCCAAAGTGGATAGTCTTAGATGGTGATATTGACCCGATGTGGATAGAATCGTTAAATACCCTAATGGATGATAATAAAGTCTTAACGTTAGCTAGTAACGAACGCATTGCCTTAACCAGAGCAATGAGGCTCCTCTTTGAAATTGCAAACTTGAGGACCGCCACTCCAGCTACGGTATCGCGAGCTGGAATTCTCTACATAAATCCGGCTGATTTAGGCTGGAATCCCTACATAGCGTCTTGGATTGACACCAGAAATGAAAACGAGAAAGCAAACTTAATGATACTGTTCGATAAATATATCCCCCCTTGTTTAGAGATGGTAAAGACAAAGTTAAAGAAAATCACACCTATCGTCGACATTGCGCATATCCACATGCTTTGCTTTTTACTTGACTGCTTTTTGACATACCAAAATGTACCGCCAGAATGCCCAAAAGAATGGTACGAAATTTACTTCGTGTTTGCGCTAATTTGGGCATTCGGATCGGCTCTATTCCAAGACCAAATAATCGATTGGAGAAATGAGTTTAGTAAATGGTTTACCAACGAATTTAAGACCGTTAAATTTCCCACTGCAGGAACCGTCTTCCATTACTATATTGATCAGGAAACGAAAAAGTTTATGCCTTGGAGCGATCTGACCCCGAGCTTCGAGCTGGATCCCGATATACCGTTACAAGCGACGTTAGTTAATACGGCAGAAACCGTCCGTGTGCGATACTTTATGGACAAACTGATCGCTCACAAGCATCCCGTGATGTTAATCGGAGGAGCAGGCAGTGGTAAAACCGTTTTGGTGTCCGACAAGCTCTCGTCTCTCTCTGAAGGGTATGCAGTTACGAATGTGCCCTTTAATTTCTACACCACTTCAGAAATGTTGCAAAGGGTGCTAGAAAATCCTTTAGAGAAAAAGGCCGGGAGAGTGTACGGACCACCTGGCACAAAAACAATGATCTACTTTATCGACGACATGAACATGCCCGAAGTTGATAAGTACTTCACCGTTCAGCCGCACACATTACTTCGCCAGTGGATGGACTACCAGCACTGGTACGACAGACAGAAGTTATCGCTCAAAGATATACACAACATCCAATTCATATCGTGTATGAATCCAACGGCAGGCTCCTTTACAATAGACCCCCGACTCCAGCGCCACTTTTGCGTTTTCGCCATAAGCTTTCCAACGCAAGACGCCTGCTATCATATTTACTCAAACATATTTTCACAGCACCTAACAAATCCGCTTAACAAGTTTCCATACTCCCTCCACTCCCTAAGCGTAAATGTCGTTACTGCCGCATTGACCCTGCATTCGAGAGTTGCGCAAACATTCCTGCCGACGGCCGTCAAATTTCATTACGTCTTTAATCTGCGCGATTTATCCAACCTATTTCAGGGAATGCTTTTTGCTAACGGCGACACTGCACCTAACCAGTCGGCTTTGATCCGTTTGTGGATGCACGAATCCTACAGAGTTTATGGCGACAAATTAGTGGAGCGCCGAGATCAGGACACCTTCTCTAAGCTGGTGGTAGAAGTACTAAAAAAGGGATTCGAAGAATTGGAAGAGGTCGAAGTAATGGCAAAGCCGTTAATATTCTGCCATTTCGCCGACGGTTTAGGCGATCCGAAATATTTGCCAATTCAAAATTATACTGTTCTAACGAGATTGTTAAACGAGGCTCTGGCCGGTTACAATGATTTAGTTTCCGCTATGAATTTGGTCCTCTTCGAAGACGCGATGAATCACATATGTCGGATAAATAGAATTATGGAGGCGCCGAGGGGGAATGCGTTACTGGTGGGAGTTGGGGGTTCCGGGAAGCAAAGCTTGACTCGACTGGCGGCGTTTATTTCCTCTTTGGAAGTATTTCAAGTTCAACTAAAGAAGGGGTTTAATATGTCTGATCTAAAAGCAAATATAGCGGCGCTTTATGTTAAGGCTGGGCTGAAGAATATCAGTACGGTATTTCTCATGACCGACGCGCAAGTTGCGGAAGAGGCGTGGCTGGTGGTTATAAATGATATGCTAGCTTCAGGCGAGATACCCGACTTACTGCAAGACGAAGAAGTGGAGAACATACTAAACGTCGTCCGAGGTGAAGTAAAAGCGAGTGGGGTTGATGACACGAAAGAAAATTGCTGGAAATTCTACATACAGCGGTGTCGCAAACTGCTTAAAGTAGTATTGTGCTTTTCACCTGTGGGCTCCACGTTGCGGATTAGAGGAAGAAAATTTCCCGCAGTTGTTAGTTGCACTGCTATAGACTGGTTTCACGAATGGCCAAAAGAAGCGCTTCAGTCTGTGTCACAAAAATTTCTACAAGACATCGAAGTTCTACCCAAACGCATAGTGGATTCGGTTTCCAACTTTATGTCGTACGTCCATTCGGTTGTTAACGACATGTCGGTGGTTTACTTACAGAACGAAAAACGGTACAACTATACCACCCCAAAAACGTTTTTGGAGCAAATCTCTTTATACTCAAAGTTACTCACCGAAAAAATTAACTTTCTCGAATACAGCATTATACGTCTCGAAAATGGCTTGCTTAAACTGGCATCGACTGCCGAGGAGGTTGACGGTTTAAAGGAAGTTTTGGCCGTGCAAGAAGTTGTGTTGGCCGAAAAAAATGCGGCCGCCGATAAATTAATTGTTGTTCTCGGTACTGAAAATGAAAAAGTGGAAACGGAAAAAAAGATTGCAACGGAAGAGGAAGAAAAGGTAAAAATAATCGAAGAGGATGTAAGCGTGAAAGCGAAGATTTGCGCGGCGGATCTGGCAAAAGCCGAACCGGCACTTCTAGCCGCGCAGGAAGCTTTAAATACATTGAATAAAAATAACCTTACCGAGCTAAAGTCGTTCGGAACGCCTCCACCAGCGGTGGTAAATGTCACGGCGGCAGTTCTAGTGTTATTTTCGAAAGGTAAAATTCCCAAAGATCGTAGTTGGAAGGAATGCAAAATGATGATGGGAAAGGCGGATCAATTTCTGAATGACCTAATATATTACGACAAGGAGCATATGTCACCTGAAGTTGTAAAAGTGACACAAGAATATTTGAAAGACCCCGAGTTTCTACCAGAAATTATACTTGGCAAATCTGCCGCGGCTGCCGGGCTCTGTTCGTGGGTAATTAATATACTAAAATTTTATGACGTCTTTGTGGTGGTCGAACCAAAAAGGAGGGCACTAAACAAGGCAAATCAGGATCTCGAGGAAGCCAGAGCGAAGCTTGTCGCCCTAAATAAAAAACTTGACGAATTTGAACAAACATTGAGCGTTTTAAGAAATGATTTTGAGGAGGCCACCGATGCTAAACTAAAGTGTCAAGCAGAGGCGGATGCCACCGCGTTGATGATAGATTTGGCTAACAGATTAGTAAACGGTTTGGCATCAGAGAAAGTTCGTTGGATCGCTTCGGTTGCAAATTATAAGGCAGCCGGTGTGACTATGCCGGGTGACGTCCTACTAGTAACAGCATTTATCTCGTATGTAGGTTGCTTTACAAGACGCTACCGGTTAGAAATGATGAATCGTTACTGGTTGCCATTTCTTCAGAAATTAGACGTTCCAATACCAATGACCGAAGGTTTAGATCCGCTTTCTCTTCTAACAGATGATGCTAGAATAGCTAAATGGAACAACGAAGGTCTACCAAATGATCGCATGTCATCGGAGAATGCGACAATTTTGGAAAATTCGGCGCGTTGGCCTTTAATGATCGATCCTCAGCTACAGGGAATCAAGTGGATTAAGAACAAATATGGTAGTCAGCTTACCGTAATACGCCTCAGCATGAAGAATTACCTCGATACTATCGAGAGATGCATAAGTAACGGCCAGGTAATTTTACTCGAAAACGTTGGCGAAACTATCGACGCCGTCCTAGACCCTATTCTAGGTCGCATTCTCATTAAAAAGGGCAAGGCAATTAAAATAGGCGACAAGGATGTCGACTACGATCCGAGATTTCGGCTTATTATCCACACCAAACTGGCCAATCCGCACTACAAACCGGAAATTCAGGCGCAAACCACCCTAATCAATTTCACGGTGACGCGAGACGGACTAGAGGAACAGCTTCTGGCGGAAGTAGTGAAGGCGGAACGTCCCGATTTGGAACACCTGAAGTCGAATTTAACCAAACAGCAGAACGATTTCAAGATTACGCTTAAAACGTGCGAGGATAATCTGTTAGAACGACTTTCGTCGGCAACCGGAAATATTTTAGGAGACGTGGCACTCGTCGAGAATTTGGAGAAAACCAAAAAGACGGCCGCGGATATTCAGATCAAGGTGGCCGAGGCTAAAGTGACTTCGATTAAAATTGACGAGGCTCGTGAACAGTATAGGCCCGCGGCTATACGAGGATCTTTGCTCTACTTTATATTAACAGATCTCAACAGAATCAACGCCATATACCAATTTTCACTAAAAGCATTCACGGTTGTATTCCTAAACGCGCTGGTGAGGGCCGATCCTGCCGAAAAATTGACACAACGCGTACTAAACCTGCTCGACAGCATCTCGTTTATGGTCTTCATGTATACGAGCAGAGGACTGTTTGAATGCGATAAATTAATATTTTTGGCTCAAATGACTTTTCAAATATTACTCCGCGAGAACGACATCCTACCGAGCGAATTGGATTTCCTCTTACGTTTCCCGGCGCTCACAGTGCACTCCCCATTCGATTTTCTCTCAAATTTGTGTTGGGGAGGTATCAAAGCCCTGTCAGGATTAGATGAGTTTAAAAACCTGGACAAAGACATAGAAGGCTCCATTAATCGATGGCGAAAGTTTGTCGAAAGCGAATGTCCGGAGAAAGAAAAGTTTCCGGGTGAATGGAAGAACAAATCTGCCTTACAAAGGCTTTGCATGATGCGTGCCTTAAGACCAGATCGTATGACTTACGCGGTTAGCGCATTTGTAGATGAGAAACTGGGTAACAAATACATTGTCGCTCGATCGGTACCATTTGCAAAATCGTACGAAGAGACCAGTAGTGCAACGCCAACGTTCTTCATACTGTCGCCAGGTGTAAATCCACTAAAAGACGTCGAAGCCTTGGGAAAACAATTGGGATTTACTTTTGATAACGGAAATTTTCACAGCGTTTCCCTAGGCCAAGGGCAAGAAATTGTAGCCGAATCCGCTATTGACATCGCGACCGAAAACGGCCACTGGGTTATCCTACAGAACATACACTTAGTTGCAAGGTGGCTTTCGAGTTTAGAAAAGAAAATTGAGCAAACTATGGATTCGTCAAGTCCGGACTACCGGTTGTATTTAAGCGCCGAGCCCAACAGCGATCCCCAAATTTGTGTGATCCCACAAGGAATACTGGAGTCAAGTATCAAAATAACTAATGAACCACCTACTGGCATGTTCGCAAATCTACACAAAGCCCTAGACAATTTTAACCAAGAGACATTAGAAATGTGCACCAAGGAAGCGGAATTTAAAGCGATCTTATTTTCGCTGTGTTATTTTCACGCCGTAGTCGCCGAGAGAAGAAAATTCGGGCCTCAGGGCTGGAACAGAAATTACCCGTTCAACGTAGGCGATTTAACAATCAGCGTAAACGTCTTATATAATTACTTGGAAGGTAACACAAAAGTGCCATGGGATGATTTACGATATCTGTTTGGGGAAATAATGTACGGCGGGCATATCACAGACGACTGGGACCGTCGCCTCTGTAGAACTTACCTAATCGAATTCATGCAGTCTGAACTGCTAGATGCCGAGCTGGAATTTGCACCAGGCTTTCTGGCACCTCCCAACACCGACTACGTCGGCTACCATCGTTACATAGACGATCGCCTCCCGCCCGAATCTCCCTACTTGTACGGGTTACATCCAAATGCCGAAATTGGATTCCTGACGAACCTCTCGGACAACTTATTTAAAACCATTTTTGAACTGCAACCGCGCGACACCGGCAGCTCGAGCGGAATAGGTATATCAAGAGAGGATAAAGTGCGTTGCATAATAGAAGATATTATCGATAAGCTGCCGGAGGAGTTTCGAATTGTAGAAATGATGGCCAAAGTGGAAGACCGGACACCGTTCATTATAGTCGCGTTTCAGGAATGCGAACGTATGAATATGCTCACCAAAGAGATGCGCCGATCCTTGAAAGAACTCGAGTTGGGATTGAAGGGCGAACTGACAATTACCTCAGTTATGGAAGTTTTAGAAGAGTCGTTATTTATGGATTATGTACCCGAGAGTTGGGCGGTTAAGGCGTACCCCAGCATGCTACCCTTAGGTCAATGGGTTGGCGATTTGTCGATTCGAATTAAGGAACTAGAAGGTTGGGTGGGCGACTTCCAGATGCCACCTGCAGTTTGGTTGGGCGGATTTTTCAATCCGCAGTCATTTCTAACGGCGATCATGCAACAGACCGCACGTAAGAATGAATGGCCCCTCGATAAAATGTGCCTATTAACCGACGTTACGAAGAAACAAAGGGAAGATTTAACGACGACGCCCCGAGAAGGTGCTAACGTATGCGGATTATACATGGAGGGTGCAAGGTGGGACACAGCATCAGGTAGCATAGCCGACTCTAAGCTTAAAGATTTGTTTCCGGTTGTACCCGTAATTTACATTAAGGCAATAACTCAAGATAAGCAAGATTTGAAAAATATGTATGACTGTCCTGTGTATAAAACGAGATCGAGAGGACCGACATTTGTCTGGACGTTTAATTTGAAAACAAAAGAGAAGGCAACTAAATGGACATTGGCAGGTGTTGCATTATTGTTACAAGTTTAAATTGTTAAGTTTTAAAGATTTAAGAATGTTGTAGTTAAAGAATAAATATCACATTATAGCTTTATCCGTTTTATTAATTCTTGCTTGTACCGGGTGACCCAATAAGACTGTTCCTTGGCCATATTAGGGGTAAAAAACAATTATTGGGTAAATCGGGCATGAAGAATCGCTGGAAAATATTTTCAAGTTCTAAAAATGACCAACAGAGGGCGTAACTGCCATCTTAAATTTTAAAATTGTATTTTCTTTAAATTTCGCATAATTAACTAAAATAGTTATTAAGGTATCAAAGGCGTTATGAACTAAATAACGCCCCAGGTCAACAGTGTAGAACCCGAGGGCCTCCGGCCCGAGGGTTATACGTTGACCGTGGGCGTTGTGTTCATAACGCCCGTGGTGCCTTCAACGTTTTATGTCATACTTAATGATTTTCCAAGAATTAGCAGTGACAGATGATTAAATGGGAAGATAATAAGAATCATCAAAATTAAGTTATCTATGGAGATAGATAGCTACTTACTATATTTGTCAAACACTCTAAAAATTTTCTGAAAAATGGCAGACGAAGCATTTCATTTACCGGCCACGTTCTTGCGCGAGCCGCAAAAGCGAATGAAGCCATAGTGCTACAAAAATCGAAATCCTCTTACGAAAAAGAGTACGCTACTTTTGAAAAATGGGTGGTGAGTAATTCTGTGGAGACAATAAACGAAACCGTTATGAAAAAAATTTCGAAAAAAATCGTGCAGCTACAACGGTGTTTAAAACAAGTTCAGAAAAGCTATAGTCCAAAAAAATCAAAAATCCTTACTCGCGAACAGAGAGTCGCCTTTCTTACAGAAGCACCTGATCCGCAGTATCTGATGTACAAAGAAGAAAGAAAATGAATGGGTCTGGGTCAAGCTGCTGCGGTGTTCTCTGGACAGTTCCAGAATTGTTCTTTTTACTTTAAAGAATAGCAGTAGGATAATGCGACATCAACACAGTTCCTTTTATTTAGTTGTTGAAAATAAAAAGTTCGTACAGATTCATTATTCCATATTTATAGGACTAGAAATTACGCCCTTGGGCGTTATAGAAATAACGCCCGTTGCTACGCATAATTGGGGTTATTTTTTCACATTTTTAAAGAGAGCCAGTTTATCTCTCATTTTTGTAAAAACAAAAACTCAGTTATTTCAAAAACAAAGATGGCGTGGGGCGTTCAATTGTTTTTGCAATAACCTGCTTTAACTTCTTAACCGTTTGACCGATTTTAACAAATTATTTATGGTTGAAAAGAGCATTCCTTGGGCAATGAGAATCAACCAAAATATAGTTAATTTAGTTGAATCCTTCTCCGCCAGGGCGCTAATTTTGACACTATGACTCATAATCCTAAAAAAAATCAAATAGAATGATGTGACTTTTTCTTTATGAAAAAGTAGCCAAATAACATCCAAAGGGGCCAGTGAAAACCGTTTTTCAAAATCTCGTTCCTAACCTCAAAAATTGGGAAAATGAGATTAATTAATAAAAATGCCACTCCAAATTTGTCAAAATACTTGAAATTCAGTTGAAAGTGACCGAGAACGTGGCGAACACATCAAATGCTTCAAACCTACGAGTAAAATTTAAAAGGAGAGAACCTTGCATTAAAAGGGCACGCGACGGAAATGGATAAAAAGCGGGGTTAAGAGTGGGGAAAAAACGCGTCACTATTGGCAAGCCATCGTCTCTTCTGTTTTATCAAGTCAAGTCAACATAACTGGCCACCGCAAAGGAGGTAATTTGATGGCTTCTGTCGCGTGCTATGTTATTTCCCACCACCGTTACATTCTCTCCTCTTTTACTCGTAGCTTCAAACACAGCGAATTAATTGAGTTGTCCTATTAGTCCGAGAACCTGTGAACATTTTTTAACAAGATTTTCTCAAAGGTGAAACCTTGTAAAATATTGAAGATGTGAGTACTGAATGTAATAATAATAATAATGTAGTAATAGCATTGTATTTATAAACGTATAAATACAATGGTAATAGTCTGCTAGTCGGGTGTTAGTGCATATAGCGCGGGAGTAATAATATATAAATATTAATATTGCTTGTGTTACTTCTGTTTGTCATTAATAGATGTCTCTATTTATCTTCAAGAAAAGTCATATATTATATGCTCAAAACTCCGTATCAAATACAGTTAAACGACGCGACGCCTGGGAATGAACACAGTGCAGTGCGCAAACTGTAAGAGTTTTACTGTATAAACAATTCAAAAATTCATGTTGTAAATTGTTTAGTTTTTCTCAGTTATGATTTTATCACATGTAAAAAAATGCTGTGGCTAGTACAGATGCTACCCGCACACCTGAGCATGCGCGATTCTGCCCTTTTATGTCTAAGAATATGTGTACAAAATTTGGTTAAAATCAGTTCCGCCGTTTAGCCGGAAATGAGAGTACAGACGGTCCGACAGCAGCATCAAGATTTTGTTTGATTCGGATTACTACTGCTTCAAAACATGTATTTCCGTCAAAAAAGTGGGGGGTAATTTTTTGCCCCAATAACGTGCGAGTGGTAAATACTGTATATTGCTAAACAAAGAATCCCGCACAACCCCCTTTACTATTTTTAATTTTTGAAGGGGTGCTCAGAGGGGTTGTTAAAGGAGGGTAATAAAGGTGGTTTACCCCTCCAAATTTCGTATCTGTAACTGGAGAATCTGTGCTATAACTGTCTAAAAAACTGCTAGCTCACACGTATCCGATGAATTAATAAAAACTTCGAATGCCAGTTTTGAGTAAGTTAAAAACTTTCCCTTTCCAAAGTTAAAGCTGCCTGGAAGAATTTAAATCGGTTGTAGTTTGAATTTGTATTGTGAAAACGAAAGCTACTTGACAGAAGACAGTGAACGTAGACAATTCAATGCCTGATAAATTTCACCAGGAACACCTATCTACAAAAGAATCCTGAGAATGTGAGTCCTCCCAGACATCCAGGTACTGTAGGAAAACCATGTATCCAGATAGTGCTATATGTAAGGTACTGTAATTTTTTCCCGATTTGTATCAAAGTAACTATCGGTTACCTATTTTATTGAAAGTAGTACTCAAAAGAAAAGAGTTTGGACATATTTAACAGGAGTTTTGATTTGTTTCTTTCAGTTCAATTTAATTTGTCAAGTAGAATGAGAATATTCACATAAATGAGTTCCATTTGTTATATAGTGATCGGTTTTTGTATAAATTCGTCTTATCATAGCCGGCCCGTGCGGCGCAGTTCAGTTGAAACTGGACTGTGGTGCTAAGGGTTCCTGGTTCGAATCCGAGTTCAGGCATGAATAGTAAATGTATAGTGGGTTGGGTTGGTAGAGCAGCCTTGGCTGAAACCCCGCCCACTCAAAAATAAGGCAAATCAATAAATATTTATTATTGTTGTGGAGGGTTAAATAGAGGTAGTTTAGAAAGAAACGTGATCATGATCACGATATAGAGTTTATATTGTCAGAATTCACTGTTAAGGTAAAATTTTTAAATAAGAAAAAAATGTGGGATAAATTGGAATTCGGATCTATTTTATTTTGTTAACACATATATTCAATCTTTCATCGTAAGTTTCTATTTATTGTTTACCAACTTAAAAGAAAATTCATATTTTGATTTTAGGATTAAAAACAAAGGAACAAATGTGCAATAAGCTAATTACAGTAGAATTCATGATTGAGCTAGTCGCCGGTCGATTGATATCTTAAAATAAAAAAATTATCAAACCCTCCACCAAATAGTACTCAATTATTGGGACACTTCTCATAGCCTGAGCTTCTATTGGCGACACGAGAAAAAGAAACCACAATTCGAACTTAAAAAAACTTTTGGGCGTCCAAAGTCGACTGCCCTTCGAAGACGCACGCCTTGCAAAAGGTGGTTAATTTCAGCCCTACAAAAAAAAACAAAATTCCGTCACGCATGAGTTGCGCGTTTACAAGATCTTTACGACGTAACCAATTTGAAAACAATCAGACCAAAATTGTAGAAGAAAAGAAAAAACTGAAAAATCATCACGTTAGTAAAACACGCTCGGGGATGGCGCCCAGATGTCGCCGACCCCACATCATGTAGTCCCGTCCCTTAAGTTGTTAATTACACGGCCCCTATAAGTATGTGCAAACACCTCGTCTTTTTACAAGCGTTCTCCTACAGGCCTGCATTTGCAGCCAGTCAAAGTAAGATTAAAAGCTACCTTTTTACAAATAACTTTGCAAAAATGCGCAAAAAAGTGGAAGTCTTTAATGTGTTTTTATACTAATTTGATACATCCTGCTTTTCATTTTGTAAATTATTATGTCACTTATATCACGTTTTTATTATAATGTTTAACTGTATTGGCCTCGGCTATTTCATTTACAAATTGAGTAAATTTGTATTTTTCTCTTTGGGTTTTGTTCTTTTCTTATTTCTTGTAGGTATATGTGTATGTATGCGAGGTTTTTTCTTGCTGGTTCTTTGTTTCCTGGATTTACGGTGTTAATTTGTCCGCGAAACCAAACCTTGTAGATTTTTTTCATTAGTACCTAATAACGTTAAAAATGAATTTATTCCATACATATTAACTACTATGTAGATACGCAATTAAAGTAAAAGTGATGAGTACCTAGTACAACTTGCTCCTTATTTAAGTCCCATACATTCCGGTCTGGGGTCCATCTGACAATAAAAAATCAGGACTTTTCTTTTCAATTTACTATAACAGTTTTTAGAATAATCACAATTTAACCTATCTACGATCTATCCATCACTTATAATGCTTGATAAGGTTTCCATGCTTTCTTTGGAGCACTGGTGAAGGTCTGACGTACCGGGTGAAGAGGGACCACTACCACTTGATATGAAACTAGGCGGACCACTCCAACCTATACCTAAATTAATTCAATTTAAATTATGGACTGCATAATTTAACATCGTTTAACTTAACTGCAATTGCTCACATAATTTCTGGCTATCACGCAGTAGGTGATTAATGATTGCAGAAGGAATAGCACATAAAAATATATTATACTTACTGTTAGAGGGAGACTGCAACTTCAAAGGCGGCGAATGACTATTGCATCTACTACAACCTGGTGCTCGAGATGTATTCGTAGGAGTAGTCGAAGGCGTACAAGGAACTTTTGGTGGTGTGGACGATGGCGTTTTAAGAATCGGAGCTAAGGTCATACTTTCTAAAAAAACATCTAACTGGCGTAAGGACAAGGCATTGTGTAAAGTCTCCAGCGGCCTTATTGCTGGCACTCCACCGATACCTTCTAATGCTGAAACAGAACAAACTCAGTTTAAAAAAAATTACTTGCGATAGTGCTCTAACATTTAATATTATTTTTCAATCCTCACATATTAAGCGCCAACAAAATGTTATTTCATTAGCGAAAACGAAGCTTGAGACTATAAAACACGGTGTAGATCTTTTCTAAACATACTCTAAATTAGTCAACAAGTTATTATGTAGTACCTACTTCTTGTGAAAAACCAAATTGAGCACTTTGAGGACAATGTTTAATCTGATGTGTGTTTTTAAATACTATTTATTATCACAATCACATAATAGATCTAATGTTTGGATATACATGGTTAGTGGAAACTTGGGAAAAAAAATAACTAACCTAATTGGTTAATAATTTATTTAGTTAGATTTTTTTGGAGTCGGGACAGTAAACAACATCATAGAAGAGGATGAAAACGAAAATTCTCCAGTACCAAATCAATCTTTTAATAATGAAGCAACTCGGCAAACGATTTACCGTAGTCAGAAGTTTTGGCAAGAAATCCTATTGCCCGCATCTTATCTTACCACTTATCGATTAACAACATTGTCAGCAACGTTTGATCCAGTGTAGGTTGGGAATGAACCGGAATTCGCAGTAAACAATCACATTCATCACTGCATGAACGAGCGCGAAAGAGCGTTTACCGTGTATTTGACATCTAGACAAACATGTATTACGTGTTGGACGCATTGTTTAAACGTAAACTAAAAAATTCTGAAGATGGTTTACAGAATAATAAACCCATACAACAAAGTATAAAGACCCAAAAGTAATTTGAAATTTTGGCCTATTGATCTTTGATTCGGATAAGATTTTTCCTTGGGCCAAGAACAGTTTTATCAACAAGGACTTGTTAGGTCCTTAATAAACCAAACGTATTTTGAGTGCAAAATTCTTATTCCTATTCTCCGATAAGTCTCGGCAGTGGTAAATTCGAAAATTCCATAAACTCAGTAGTTTTCTACTTTTAAAAAATTGTCCACAGATGGAAGTAAGAATGTAATGGGCACTACTGGGCAGACTAAACATCAGATCGATAGGAAAATTGGCAAAAAAAGTAGCAAATAAGTCACGAACTGGGGGTAGGTTACCACCCTCCATCTGAGATAGTAGCTGAATATATATTTTTAAATTACCATGCAATGCCTTATCCATTATAGATAATATATATCAGGGTCATTATTGACGAGCGTCAGTTAGAAAGATATGGAAAACCTTAGAAAATGAAGATAAACTGATAAGTTCTTTAAGGGTTTTGACACATGATGAATTGAACTAAAATATTTTCAAGGTGGCGCCACTTCCGGAAATATCGGAAGTAGCCATCAACTTTGTTATTTTAAATAGGGACCCCCTATCTTTTCTACATTTTCGGATTCTACGTCAAATTTGGAGTACAACGATACCCCATAGTTGACCCTTTTCTCCAAGGGTTTCGCCGATATTCAAGTTTTTATGTCAAAAATTGAATTTGCAGGGGTAATTTTAAAAATTTATTATTCGAGAACGGTGAGAGATATTGCAACACAGTTTTCACTGATTTATTAAAGAACGATCGAATTTTCTTATGGTATGCGTAACAGTCTAAGAAAGTGAGACTACGCCACTTTTTCAAAGCTCTCAACTTTTAAACTTTTAAATATCCATAACTCCATTTTTTCAAATGGCACCCCCCATTTTGTTCTTCACCCTTGTTTTCCTTTTTCCTAGACCTTTAATTTGATACAAAATGTCAAAAGCTCCTTCAAACGGTTTCAGAGATATTACATGTTTTAGTTACTTCTTGTGGCAAATTGATAAAAAAATTAAGTCGCTTGATGTTATCAAATACTTTAATACAATGCGATCAAAAATGATTGGCTGTCTAGTCGCCTTTGGAATTTTTGTTTACATGGGAAATCCTATTTAACTTGAACTTCCTAAGGCGACTCGACAGCCAATCATTTTTGATCGCCCGATATAATAATACAGGAAACTCACATTGACAACCTGTCGCAAGTGACTGCAGCGCCACCGTGCGGTAGGGTGTATTCACAATCAAATGTCATATTTGATTTGAAATTTTTGCAACTTTTGATTTGGCTTTTTGAAGAGAAAAAGTCGTAAAACAGCATGTCTGGTGGGGTCTGTGCTGTGTATGGTTGTTGCAATGCCACTGTGAAAAAATGTTCAAAAGCATTCTTTCGATTTCCTTTAAATACAGAAGTGTAAGTAACTTTATTGTATATACCCAAATTGTAAGTTTTATATTTTTCCACAAATTTCTATGAAGTTTTATGTTGTGTAGGGCCTAGCTTATACTATTGTTTTCATTTTAGGTGCAAGCAGTGGATGGTCAACTGCAAAAGAAGCGACTTGGATGCTATTTTTAAGAAAGGAGGTGTGAAATGTTTAAACAGAAGCCATAGAGTGTGTTCTGATCATTTTGTTGAAAGTCATTTCAGAAATACACGATTGTTTAGTCAAGGGTGAGATTTACATAAGTGTAGTTCTGAATTTATTTACTCATTAGTGTATTTGTTTGGAATAGGTTGATTAAGGGTGCCATTCCGAGTATAAAGTTGCACTGGGTTCAATTAAAGACAAGAAAAGGTCCTTTCAAACGTAAGTTACCTCAAAATGAAAACCTCAAGGCAGATGTTATGGAAGACCGTATACCACAAACTGTTGCTGAATACCATTCTGAGTTCAAGAAAAGAAAAGGAAACATGTGCGATTCCCCGAATACTGTTGCAAAAAAGTTACGTTTGTTGCAAAAATATAAAAGCAGATATACTCAAACTATTGCAAATTTAAAACAGCAAGTCTTAACTCTTCAAAAACAGAATGAAGAACTGAAATCCGAACTTAGGAAGTTAAGACCTAGTAATTCTATAATGACCCCATTGGACAATGTTGAATGTAAACCAAGAGGTCGTAGATACTCAGAATTGCAGAAGAATTTTGCTCTAGCACTTCATTATTGTTCAGCAAAGTGTTACCGATTGTACAAACTTTTTAAGAACACAAAGGAAAGACTTTTAAAAACATAAACAGGTTGTTTACAAAATATATAAGCTCTTAAGGCAAAATAAAGATTTAACTGTAGGTACTGCTACACTAAAAGTTAGCTGAGAGACTTCCTTTAGTAGTTTATTATATGAAACCTCTTGTATTCGCAAGGTTTTCGTATTATTTCTTCATTATTCACTTCCTCCAAATAAACTTACCCTACCTTACCTTATTAGAAACCTGAAAAGGCAAAGAAATTATCTACCAAGGTACCATTACAGAAATGAGCAGATGAATATTGACTCTCTTTTTTAGGGTATTTATTATTTTTTACAGATTATTTTGCAAAATTCTTATGGATAAACTGATAATATGATGGTATTTGATAATATCATACCCCTATGATGTTAAATACTCTTGGGAATATAAATAATTCTCTTCTTATTTTTTCGTCATTGCACACCGCGCCGTAAAGATGGCGCTCATTCACGTGTCACACGTAAGCAAATGCAAATAGTAGCGAGTTTCCTGTATTAATATATTAAGGTATTTGATGTTATTCTGTTGTTTTTATAATGATAATGTTTAAACGTCAAATTTTTGCTGCTTGAACTTATACTTCTCGTCAATAATGGCTCGTTTGGGTTACACTAATGAAGATTTTTTGAATTTAATATTAATACACTGTGAATATAATCGAATAGCGGCCAGAACTTGCCGTCTTTTTTCCGAAAGATACCCTGACAAGGCGCAACCCACAGAGGTTATAACTCGCAAATTAATACAAAATTTCAGGAATAACGGTACGTTTCAAACAAAAATACAAAAAAAGGAAGCCTGTGGTAGACTCTGAAGAACAAGAAATAACTGTAAAATACGCCAGTACTGAGAAATCTTTGTGCACTCGTGTCTGATATGTCAATTTCTCTTTGGATATCATTAAGCGATGCAGTTGGATTTGTAGCAAAATACGCCAGTACAGCTGTTATTTCTTGTCCTTCAGAGTCTACCGCAGGCTTCCTTTTTTGTATTTTTGTTTGTAACATACTGTTATTCCTGCAAATTTGACGTTTAAACATTATCATAATAAAACCAAAAGAATTACATCAAGCGAATGAATTTTTTTTTAAATTTGCTACAAGAAGTAACTAAAACATGGAATATCTCGGAAACCGTGAGCTTTTGACATTTTGTATCAAATTAAAGGTCTAGGAAAAAGGAAAACAAGGGTGAAGAACAAAATGGGGGGTGCCATTTGAAAAAATGGAGTTATGGATATTTAAAAGTTGAGAGCTTTGAAAAAGTGACACTTTCTTAGACTGTTACGCATACCATAAGAAAATTCGATCTTTCTTTAATAAATCAGTGAAAACTGTGTTGCAATATCTCTCACCGTTTTCGAATAATAAATTTTTAAAATTACCCCTGCAAATTCAATTTTTGACATAAAAACTTGAATATCGGCGAAGCCCTTGGAGCAAAGGGTCAACTATGGGTATCGTTGTACTCCAAATTCGACGTAGAATCCGAAAATGTAGAAAAAATAGGGGGTCCCTATTTAAAATAACAAAGTTGATGGCTACTTCCGGTATTTCCGGAAGTGGCGCCATCTTGAAAATATTTTAGTTCAATTCATCATGTGCCAAAACCCTTAAAGGACTTATCAGTTTAGTTTCATTTTCAAAGGTTTTCCATATCTTTCTAACCGACGCTCGTCAAGAATGACCCTGTATAGTTTAGTACGATCTACCACCCCATTTGTAGTCCCGGTGCCAAGGGTTGCGGCAAGTTGCGCCCCGGCACCGTGACTTTTTCCGATAAAACTCATCCATATGCACCATTTAGTACTCTTCCTGAACGTCCAGGACAATAAAGTACATTTTGCAAAAATAAGGGGCGAAGTTAATTTTTTTTAATTGCTTTCGGTAGGATTTTCGCCGGCACCGGCAACTTCTTATGGCGAATCCTATGAAAATTATTAGAATCGTCAGGGCGTT